AAAAAAAGAAAAACATTCCAGGCAAGTTGAGAATATTACCCTTCCCAGAAATGCCATTTGTCATACATGTAGGCCACATCTAAATTCAAGCGGGCAAGGAAATCTAATCCACCCATGTGCCTAGACACAGAGAACTGGAAATTATATGCTCATAGCGCCAAACTCCTAAGATGAAAACAACCTGGGCCTAGACAACCTACAAGGCCAGAGCAGCCCAGTGAAGGGCACAAGCTACATAGTCAGACTCTTTTATTTTTAAATTCTGTAGTGATGGAGATTAAACCCAAGACCCTGTGCATGCTAGGCAAGTGCTGTACCACTGAGCTACATCCCCAGCCCAGTCAACCTCACTGTCTCAATTTCTTCCTCCAGAAATTGTAAGCCAACTTTGCAGAGCGACCCCAAAGTGGTTTGACGAGTAAGACATGCAGAGTGTTTTGAGCAGTGCCTGGCATGTAGGAAGAACTACAGACGTTACTGAGGAGCTGGTGCCTGGGTAAAGACTTGTTAAAATTGCATCTCAGGGCTGGGGATTTAGCTCAGCGGTTCTACCACCTGCCTTGCAAGCACAAGGTCCCAAGTTCAATCCTTGGTACTCCCTGCAAAAAAAAAACCTGAATGGATGCACATTGAGGCCACACTTTTAAGTGAAATAAATAAGACACACGTGCAAACGCTGAATAGTTTCTTTGGTGTGAAAAACTAAAAGTGTAAATAAGTTTCAAATTGTATAATTGATAATGTAAAATAGGAAGAAAAGGTCTAAAGAAGTAGGGGAAGTTAAAAGGGTAGGGGAAAGGAAAGAAGGGAAAAGAAAAAATAAGAGAAAAGGAAAAATGGAAACAAAACCTTTGTAAGTAGGGAAGGGTGGAGTGGGTAAAGCAAGGGCAGGGGAATGGGGAAAAATCAGAATGAAGATACATCATGTAAAGGTACAAGATCCCAAGATCACTGTATACCTAAAAAGTACCAATAAACAATGAAAAACAAAACAAAAACTGAAGCGCAGAGACAATGGAAGTCCAACATAATACAGAGGGTTAGTGTAGCACGGTGGGTCAGGCCTCAGCCTGGCACATGGTGAGTAATAAATGGTACTGATATGTGCAGGAGGTTCAGGATGGCTAAGAACATGGAGCCTACCAGCCGGGTGTGGTGGCGCACACCTGTAATCCCAGCACTCTGGAGGCTGAGGCAGGAGGATCGCTGTGAGTTTGAGACCAGCCTGGAATACATAGTGAGTTCCAGGTCAGTCTCAACTACATAGTGAGACCCTGTCTCACATACATACATACATACATACATACATACATAAAAAGAGAGAGAGAGAGAGAGAGAGAGAGAGAGAGAGGGAGAGAGAGAACATGGAGCTGGGAGCTGGATGGTCAGGGTTTAAGGAGGCTCTACTGCTAAACACCTGTGTGATTCTGGGCACGTTCCTTAACCTTTCTGTGCTCCAGTTTTCTCATATATAAAATGAGGATAATAGTAGGGCACCTGAATTATGAAGCTTAAGAAATAATCAAGTGACGGGTCAGGGGTTTAGCTCAGGTGTTCCACCACCTGCCTTGCAAGCTCAAGGTCCTGAGTTCCATCCCTGGTACCCCCCCCCACAAAAAAAAGTAATCATCAAGTGAAGGCCACAGGACAGCACTTGGCACTTTATCAGTGCCCTGTGCATTTAGCTGTTTTTATTACCTAGGCCCTCAGTTTGCACTCAGAGAGGCATTTACAAGTGACCAAACTGGTTAACAGTTCCCTCCTCCCAGAACAACTGATACAGAAGAGAAGGAAAGATGAACACCAATGAGGGAGTCCTGGAGCCATGGAAATGTTTAGAGCTGGAGCCAGGAGGGCAGAGAGAAAACAACTGAGAAGCTTTCTCTACCTGTCTGAGAATTCCCACTTGTTCCCAGACTTTCCTGCGAGGTAGGAGAGTGATCACTAGAGAGAACAGTAAAAAGAGGCACAAGGCATTAGTCTCAGTCCCAGTGAAGCCACCCTGTACCCTGCAGTTTCCTACCCAACCAGACTGCGGTGCTGCTCTGACAGTCCCGCACTTGTCAACACTGAAAGTAGCAGCCTCTTCCTACGATCAGAGGCTGTGGCAAATACTTTTCGTGAATTGCCTTGTAGTTCTGTCACAATAAAGCTGTAAAGAAGGAATTCTTATTGTTCCCATTTTATAGAAGACAAATTTGAGAAGTTAAAGCAACTGGCCTAGCAAACCATACGTACTATCAGGGGGACAGGCAAGAGTTCTGATAGTGGCAGACTTAACAGATGAAAGCGAATCAAGGGTTAAAGAAAATACAGTCTCTTCTGTGACTCTGAAAAATAAAACTTCACAAGGACCCTGAAGGGAACATTTTCATTTCTGGGCCTCGGATCTCTGCACAAGGAGGCGGTGGAAGGGGGCAAAAGGACCCCAGCCAGTCTGCTTCTCTTCAGATCCCTAAATCTGTGTACCTGGCTAGAGGGCCTTGTGCACATGTGTGAGAGGTCTCACATTCTGTGTGCTCACTTTCTGTTTTAGGGGTTACACACTGAAAGGGTCCAGCAGGTATTTCACCCAATAAATGACAAAGAAGCCACAACAGAGTACATCACCACACTTCAGAATGCCAGGGGCCAAGAGCTCTTAAATGCTTCCAGAAACAAGGGTGTGTATGGGGGACTCCTATAATCAAGAATCACTCAGGAGTGGGGGTGCACATCCCTAATCCCAGCACTTGGGAGGCTGAGGCAGGAGGATCACTGAGTTCAAGGTCAGCCAGGACTACATAGCAAGAACCTGTCTAAGAAAACCCAAACAAAAAAACAAAACAAAAAGAACCTTCCCCACCCCGCCAGTGCTGGAGATGGAACACAGGGCCTTGTGCATGCTAGGCAAGCACTCTACCGCTGAGCCCCACACCTCCAGCTTTATGAATATAGTTCTTTTTCTCAGTACCAGGAATTAAATCCAGGGCATTCATACTGAGCCACATCCTCAGCACCCCCCACCCTTTTTTTCTGAGACAAGGTCTTGCTTTGTAGTGCAGGCTGGCCTCAAACTTGTGGCAATCCTCCTGCCTCAGCCTCTCAAGTGCTGGGATTACAAGCATGTGCCACTACACCCAGCTTCTCAAACAGCATTATAGTGAGATCACAGGGCAAAGAACCAAGGTCTCCTGTCAACAAGCTGCACAAACCTTCCCCTTTGTGAGGAAGTGGATCCCTCAGGCCTACTCAAGCCTTCAGATGACTTCAGGCTCCTGAGGGACCCCAAGCCAGAACCACCCAGTTAATCTCCCAAATTCATGACTTGAAGAAAATGAGATAACTTCATTTTTGTTTAATGCCATTAAATTGAGGTATGATTTGTTATGCAACAAAAGAAACTTACATAGGTATATTTGGAGGGGAAGTGGAAGAAGCCATGGTATTTTGTAGTTTCTCTAATAAAAAATGAGTCTATCCACCATGGAACTTGTTCTGGCTGATGGGACATTACAGAAAAATTATAGAAGCAGAGGGTTTAAAAGTGCTTATGCAGTTGGGCCCTGTCCTCTCTTGTTCGTGGGAACTCAGTGACTGCTGCCTTGGAACTAAGCTTAGATAGTTTGCTGGAGACGTGGCCCCAACACCTTAGATGACAACGGCCAATACCATCCAGACGATGTGTGAGGCCGTTCCAAGCTTCTAGCCTATGCCAAACTGGTCCGGAAAAGACCTCTCCTAATTCATAGAATCATGAAAAATACTAAATAAATATTTGTCGTTTAAAGCTATTGTTTTAGAATGAGTTGCTATGTGGCATTAGCTAATCGATACAATATAATTACCTCATATGTACATCTCCTTTCCCCTGGAAACTATGGGATGTGTTTCAGGAATACTACAGGTTGAGTTCAAAGCCTGGTTACTTCCTAACCTTGTCTTGTCTTAGGCACGTTAATTCACTTTTTTTTAAGCCTCATTTTTCATCATCTTCAAATTAGAGATAACAATGTTACAGTACCTATCTCAAGTCATGTGACAAGTAACTGAACAAACTACATAACGTGCTTTGCACAGGGCCTGGCACACAGAGCTCCACACAGCATGACAGTGAGGGCGCCAACAGGAAAGAAGGCATAGTTAGTAGATATGAGGCAGCTTTAAGATCATCTAAACCGGGTGTGGTGGTGCACACCTGTAATCCCAGCACTTGGGAAGCTGAAGCAGGAGGATCACCAGGAATTCCATGCTGGCCTGGGCTACAGAGTGAATTCAGGGCCAGCATGAACTACAAACGGAGACCCAGCTTAATGGGGGGCGGAAATCTAGTTCAAATCTTTACAGGGGGTAAATTAAACTTCAGAAAGGTAAAATCATTTGCCCAACACCTCAGAGCTAATAAGTGGCATTGTTTGGATTTGATGATGATAATCAATAGCTGTTGAACGCTTACCTCGTGTCAGCTTTTGTACTGGGTTCTTGAATCACGTTCATTTCATACAGTACTCACTGTGATCCTATGAAACAGATAATATTCTTCCCACTTACAGGCAAGGAAGTGTCGGAATTAGGGAAATGATTTGTTCACATTCTCAACCATCAGCAGCAGACCCAACATTCGTCCCCAGATTTGGCGGCCCTTTGGCCCAGTCAGGAAAGTTGTCAGCAAAGTGGGTCGGTGCAGCGATAAATGCGTTGTTTCCCAGTCTGCAGGGCCTTATCACTCCGCAGCTTTCTTCCACCAGCTCCAAAGAAACGTAGTGGCCAAAGAAGAGAGCGCGGACTTTAGCTTGGGAGAGGAGGAGTCGAACCCGGGCCCCACTATCTTCTCTGAACACTCGCTACATCATTCTGTCCTTCAATTTCTCCATCCGTGAAGGTGGGAGAATAACAGCGTCCACCTCCAGCGAGGAAAGTCAGACCCGGAAGGCGCCTGTCAAACGTCAATCTCCGGGCCCCGCCCCCCCTTTTCCCCCTGCGCATGCGCCACGCACGGGCACTTTTTACGACGCGAGGGACGCGGCGCTTGGGGGCCAGAAAGGAGCGCGGTGAACTCGCCGGTAGTGGCCGCGGTTGTGCCGGAGGAAAGCTCGAGTGGCTGTGTCGCCATGTCTCACGGCCACAGCCACGGCGGGGGCGGTTGTCGCTGTGCAGCCGAACGAGAGGAGCCGCCCGAGCAGCGCGGCCTGGCCTACGGCCTGTACCTGCGCATCGACTTGGAGCGGCTGCAGTGCCTCAACGAGAGCCGCGAGGGAAGCGGCCGCGGCGTCTTCAAGCCGTGGGAGGAGCGGACCGACCGCTCCAAGGTGGGCCGTCGGGCGGGCCCCGTCAGCTGCGCTCCTGAGGTTGAAAAGGACGACAGCACAGTCGCCAGACGCTTTCTTGTGCCGGTCTCCTGCCAGCCTTTGCGAGGCCAACAGGGTTGAGTCTCCCTATTGTGCACCTAGGAAGCTGAAGCCCAGAGAGGAAACGTGGGTGCTTTAGCTTGACACAGCCAAACGCTCCGTTCCAGAGCTGTGTGGGCTATGAGGGAACTTGGTTTTGAGGGCGTTTTCTGGTCCCTTTGACCATCGGTCTCCGTAGCTGCTTGATCAAATCACCCGGTAAAGTTCGCCCTAGGGAAAGGATGGCTGTTTCCCATGTAGAGCACAGGCCGCTTTGAGAGCCACGGGAAAGCTGGGGCCTTCTCCCCAGATAAGTGCATATAATCTCCTATCTTTCAATTCTCAATTCAGGAGGCTCCCCATTACAGGAATTCACTGGATGGTCTGTGGTTATTAGAATAAGATCACTTAGCTTCAGGTTACTAAATCCTGCAACACCTGAGGAAGGTTGTCTATTTAGATTGCACCCCGATTTGTAGAACAGGGTGGGAGATGCCTGAAATCGTAGGCTCTCAGCAAATATTTGTTGCTTTCTCCTCCCTCCTCCCTATCCCTTCCAGTTTGTTGAAAGTGATGCAGATGAAGAGCTTCTGTTTAATATCCCGTAAGTATCTCCTTGGTGCCTGTCTCAGGCTAAATAGGCTGTAACCAGTTGCCTCCCCAGATGGATTCATTCCTAGGTTGTGTCGAGAGCACACATCTCTTTCTAGAAATGGGATAAGTTAGGTGGGTTTGAAGAGGAAAGCATCATAGATCTTTTTTGGAGCAGGCTGGAAATACGTATTTCTTGAATGATAATTGAGAAGTCCAGATAAATTTCTTAGAATTGCAGAATGCCAGAGCTAGACAGGATCTTAGATGTTATCTAGTCCGACAAACTAAAGCTCAGAAAGGGACATGGTTTTGTTCAGGGTTTAACAGGGTTTAACCCAGAGTTGACAATGTTTTCTTTTGCATTCTGGCAGATTTACCGGCAATGTCAAGCTCAAAGGCATCATTATAATGGGAGAGGATGATGACTCACACCCCTCTGAGATGAGACTGTAAGTGGCAAGGGCTTAGGCCCTCTTAAAGCTCCTAAGTTTCTTTATCTTCCTCTGGTAACACTTTGTTCTAGAATAATATCATTTTTCTTTTACCAGGCTCAAAGTTTTTTTGGCGGGGGGCGGTGCCGGGGATTGAACTCCGGTCCTTGCACTTGCAAAGCAGGCCACCGAACCGCTGAGCTAAATCCCCGGCTCTTCAAATTCTTTCTAGAATATGTTGGTCTTGTGCTCATTTACATCGTAATACACATTTTTAATTTTTATTTTACTTCTTGCTATGCTGGGGATTGAACCTAGGGCCTTGCACAAACACCTTATCATTGAGCCACATCCCCAGTCCAAGGCTCAGTGATATTTTTAGATTAAACATCTTTGGGGCCAACAGCTTATCTCTTTTTTTCAAAGTGCTTACTATCGCACCATTCATTCAGAGAGCATTCTATAAATGCCAGTGTTGATGACTTTGCAGTTTTCTTAACCTCAAATGCAGATCTCAAATGATCTTTATGGACTTAGGATTAATTTCAGAATTTACTTTTGCCATTTCATACAGCTTTGCATGTTTTATGTGGACATGGTTTGTGAGACCTTTGTTTAGTAATCTGTGGCCCTCAGAGTTCCTCCCTTCTTGATAGGTTATTTTATCCCACTATTGCCTTCCTGAAAGAAAACTGCTAGTTCCATCCCTGGTACCAAAAAAACAAAACAAACAAAAAAACCAATACAACAAGAAAACTGCTGAGTATTGAAGAAACATGCATAAGAAATTTACATAAATGAAATTTCATCTGGGGCTGGAGATATAGGTGGTAGACCCTTGCCTAGCATGTGCAAAACCCTTGGTTTGTGCCCCAGGCCCTGTTTGATCTTTAGCACTGAAAAAAAGCTTGAAAAATCGAACAATTTAAATGGACTTTAGAGAGATTGAAGAACTTGGTACAATTTTGAATGTTAAAAGTAAATCTACGTGGGCCGGGGATTTAGCTCAACGGTTCAGTGGCCTGCTTGGCGCTTGTCTGTGTCATAAGGGGCTCCTGCTCCCATATAGTCACCATTTGAGTTTCTGCAAGTAGAAAGTTAAAGTGAGGGTCTGGGGATTTAGGTCAGTGGCACCATGCCTGCCTCGCAAGTGCAAGGTCTTGAGTTCGATCCCCAGTACCAAAAAAAAAAAAAAAAGTAAATCTATGCTGGGCTTACTGGCTCATGCCTGTAATGCAGCATTCAGGAAGCCGCAACAGGATCACAAGTTCAAGGCCAGCATGGACTACATAATGAAACCCTGTCTCAAAAACCAAACAAATCCAAAAGAAGAGCAAATCCATATCCATATACAGTGGTGCATACCTTTAATCCCAGCCTGTGAGATGCTGAAAACTGCAAGATCAAAGCCAGCCTGAGGTACAGAGCTAGTTCAAGGCTGGACTGAGCTACATAGTGAGACCCTGACTCAGAAAACCAAAAATAGCTGGGTGAGAGGGTGCATACCAGTAATTTCAGCACTCAGGAGACAAGGGCTGGAAGATCACAAGTTGGAGGCGAGCCTGAGCCCCATGGTGAGTTCAAGGCCAGCCTAAACTATGCAGTGACACATTGTCTCAAAAAACAAACAAACTAAAAATCCCTCCAAAATAGATAAGTAAAAGCAGATCCATATATTAAATCATTTTAAGGAAAATGTCTGACCTGATGCTTTTGGGGACTCAAATATTTTGGCAGGTGGGTTTGCTTCAGAGGACTAGACATTCCTGGTCTAGTGGTTCTATTGTAGGCTCTGGAGTCAGGAGAGTTCAAATTCTGGCTGTACATGGGCATGGTGGCACAAACCTGTAATTCCAGGTACTCTGAGGTTGAGACAGGAGGATCACAAGTTTGAGGGGGATCTGAACTACCAGTGATGTACCACGACAGTCACACATGTACCACTGGTGGTTCAAGGTATTAACCTCTAACATTTTATTAGGGGGATCGAGCTCAGTGGTTCCTCCGCCTCCCTCAAAAGAGCATGGTCCTCTATATGATCCCCAGTACCAAAAAAAAAAAAGAGTTTGAAAGAGGTGTGGAACATATGTGTTCTGTTTTGGGTGAGCAGGTACAAATACCAATTGCAAGTACACTTTTTATATTACAATTTACCAAATCTAAGATGTTGTTGGTTGTTAATGCACTATTGTTTTATATAAAGTTAATTTTTGAATTCTACCTGTTGAACTATGACATACTATTGTGACACATCCATTTAAATTGAGGGTTAAAGAGAATCTTTTTTGTTTTTTATTTTTTTTGTACTGGGGAATTGAACTCAGGACCTTGTGCTTGTGAGGCAGGTGCAGTGCCACTGAGATAAATCCCTGGCCCCAAAATTGAAAATCTTCAATCAGGGAAATTTAAATATAGACTAGGTGCTAGATCAGTGGTGGCAAAACTATTGTACACACATTGTTTTTCTTTTAAGACAAACTATGTTAATGTATGAGCTATTTTTTCTAAACTAAAACCTCAGTATACAGATTAATCTCAATGTTGGCACTTTGTGATAAATAAGTGGTTTTTTGGTTGTAGTTTGGGCACTCGTTTCTGAAAGGTTCGCTATCAGTGTGCTAGATGATATTAAAGAATTACTGATGCCAGAGGTAATAGCTCAGTGATAGAATGCTTGTCTAGCTTGAGGCCTTAGGTTTGATCCAAGAAGTGCAAAGGAAAAAAAAAAGGAATTACAACTTGGTTAATTGCTAATACTCCTAATTACTATGAAATGATATAGATAGGTTTTTAAAATGTAATTAGCTAATTTAATTAATTTGAGGCAGGGTCTTGCTTTGTAGCTCAGGCTGGCCTTTAACAGACTGTGTAGCACTGGCTGGCCTCAAACTCACAGTGATCCTCCTGCCACAGCCTCTCAAGTGCTGGGATTATAGGCATGTGCTACCACACCTGGCTGGTATATTTGTTCTCTCCCCCAACCCTGGTACCGTGGATCAAACCCATGACCTTGCACTTGCCAGGCAGGCATGGTGCCAGTGAACCACATCCCAGGCCTGTTTTGTTTTTTTTTTTTAAGTCCTTTTTTAGCGAGCATGGTGGTACATGCCTGTAATCCCAGAATTCAGGAGGATAAGGCTGGAGGATCACAAGTTCCAGGCCAGCCTAGGCTACATAATGAGATCCTGTCTCATAAAACAAAATAAAAAAACGACAAACCCCCCAAATAAATGTCCTTACATACTGAAGTATTAGGGCCGGGGGTTTAGCTCAGTGGTTCCACTGCCTACCTTGCAAGTGCAAGGTCCCAAGTTTGATCCCCGGTACCAAAACAAAAAACAAACAACAGTAACATACTGAAGTATTTATGGATGAAATGGGATAAGTTATTATGAAGAATTTATGAGTAAAATAGTACATCTGTGATTGCTTTAAAAATACATAGCATAAAATGGGAGTGATACGCAAAATTGACAAGTGCTTGGTAATTGAACATGAGTGATAAGATTTGTTATATTTTGTCTCCTTTGTGTATTTTTGCAGTTTTTTAGAGTGAAGTTTTGTGGTACCAGAGAATGAACTCATGCTAGGCAAGTGCTCTACCACTGAGTTATACTCCCAGAACTTTGCTTTTTTTTCTATTTTGAGTCACTAAGTTGCCAAGGCCTGGCCTCAAACTTGGTGATCCTCCTGCTTTAGCCTCCCAAGTAGCTGGGATTACATGTGTGCACTCCCTGCCTGACTTCACTAGTATAAGTTTTTATTTTAAAATACATCTCTTAAAATTGATTCAAGTTAGTCTCCATATTAGCTCTATGGAATTCATACTATCAATATCTCCATTTTACAGATAACCAAACTGAGACACAAGTTAATTCATTTCCTCAAATTACATAGCTGGTAAGTGATAGAGGCCGCAGAGTGTAGGCTGTAGGCTGTAGACCAGTGGCGGCGAACCTATGCATGTCACAGCCGGCTGTTGTTATCATTGAAAGCTCTATGTCACCTACCTTGCAAGCACAAGGACCTGAATTCGATCCCCAGTACCAAAAGAAAAGAAAAGAAAGCTCTACAAGGTTCGCTATCACTGTCCAGGAAGTCTAGCTTGAGACATTGCTTTTTATTTAATTTGACTGTAGTCGATACATAATAAGTACATTTTTATGAGCTATAGTGCAACACATTTATACACTGTGTAATGTTCAGATCAGGATGATTGGTGTATCCATCACTTAAATAGTTGTCATCTACTTCTGTTCAGAGCATTCAAAATCCTGTCAGGTATGGTGGCGCATACCTGTAGTCCCAGCACTAGAAAGTCTGGGGCAAGATGATCACCATGAATTCATGGTCAGCCTGGACTACGTAATGAATTCAAGGCTGGCTTGAGTACATAGCGAGACCCTTTCTCAAAAAGAAAAAGAAAACTGATCTTTATAGGGTGGGATGGTATTCAAGGTTGGAGTGTTTGCCTGGCATGATAAAGCCCTGGGCTCAGTCTTAGCATCCCAAAAATAAACTCTTCTCTACCAGCTGTTTTGAAATGTACAATTAATTGTTGTCAATCATAGTGATGTTGCTGTGCTATTCAGAACATTTGATGTTACTGCTGCTATCCAGCTGCATCCCTGTACCCATTAAATATCTTCTGTCCATCCCTTCATTTTTCGCCTTTCTCAGCCTCTGGTAGCCACAGTTCTGCCTTGTACTTCATGAGACCAACTTTTTTAGCTTCTACAGATAAGTGAGAACATGGAGTAGTTGCCTTTCTGTGCCTGATTCATTCAACATAGGCTCACCCCATGTTGCCACAAATGTCAGAATTTTATCCTTTTTATGGCTGAACAATGTTGCATAGTGTACAGAACTACATTTTCTTCATCCATTAATGAACACCTAAGTTGATTCCATATCTTCACTCTTGTGAATAATGTTGCAATAAATAAAAAAATGAGTACAGATGTCTCTGAAATACTGATTTTCTTTTCTTTGAATGTACATTAAGTAATGGAATTCTTGGATCTTATGGTACTTCTGTATCAAATGTTTTGAGAATCCTCTATCGCAGTCCAAAAATATATTCCCATCAGTGGTATATGAAAGCTTCTCTTTCTTCACATCCTTACCAGCATTTATTTTTTGTCTTTTTGATAATAGCTACCCAGAACTGGGTGAAATGAAATCTTTGAATTAGATTTGCATTACCCTGATAATTAGTGACAGTGAGCATTTTTTATATACTTGTTGGCCATTTGCATATTTTGTTTTGAGGTGCATCTATTCAGATTATTTGTCTGTGTATTTATTTTGAGATAGGATCTTACTATGTAGTGTAGGATAGCCTTGAACTCACTATGTACCTGAGGCTGGCCTTGAATTTGTGGCAGTCTTCCTGCCTCAGCCTCTTGAGTATTGGGATTATAGGTGTGTACCACTACACCTGGGTTATTGAGTTGTTTTGAGTTCTAGATATAAGGTACTATATAATCAAAAATTAGTTTTGTGTTTAAGCTGGCCATGGTAGCCCATGCCTGTAATCTTAGCACTTGGGAGGCTGACTCAGGAGGATCACTGTGGGTGTGAGGCTAGCCTGGGCTGCGTAGTGAATTCAAGGGCAATTTGAATTCCATGCCAACATCCTGTTTCAGAAAAGAAAAAGCCAGTATGTGTTAAATTTTTAAAAATGTATTATAGCAAAAGCCAGGTGTGGTGCATGCCTTTAATCCCAGCGCTCAGAAGGCTGAGTATCGCCGTGAGTTCAAGGCCAGCCTAAGGCGAGACCCTGTCTCAAAAAACAAAACAAACAAAAAAACCAGTAATATACATTGTCATTAATTCTCCTCAAAATACTCCACCCCTCACTTCAAATATACTTATCCTATAGTTCTTCCCATTTTCTGGAGCAATTCTAGAAGGCTTTTTTTCTGTCTGTGTTCTCATGGCTGCCTCTATATCTTGCATTGATTCAAAATATTTACCTTTCAAGGTCATTTTAACTTTGGGGAAGATCCAGAAGTCACAGGGTACCAGATCTAGTGATTAGGTGGTTGAAGACACAGTAATATTTTTACAAACCTGCCTTTTGCTTAGATGGCACTCAGCAGCAGCATTCACCATAGTTGTGATCATACCTCCTAAAGAAGCCCACAGAAGAGGACTTCCGGGACTGCTTCAGACAGTGGCAGGAATGATGGGATAAGTGTATTTGAAGTGAGGGGGAAGCCGGGCGTGGTGGCGCACACCTGTAATCCCAGCACTCAGGAGGCTGAGGCAGGAGGATCGCTGGCTGTGAGTTCGAGACCAGCCTGGGCTACATAGTGAGTTCCAGGTCAGTCTCAACTACACAGTGACACCCTGCCTCAAAAAAAAAAAGTACAACAATTATGAAGTGAGGGGGAGTATTTTGAGTAGAACTAAAGACAATGTACCTTTTACTGTAATAAAATTTTTAAACTTTCATCGTATACTTTGATCACTCCTTGTATATCCGGGATAGTAATGCCTTGTCAGATGAATAGTATGCAAATATTTTCTGCCATTCTATAGGTTGAGACACTGCTTTTAACTACAGTGTTGCACTGCCCCTCATAATGCTACTCATAAATGTGCACTCTTGTTATACTGCTGTGCATCATTCTTAAAAACACTTTGAAGGAAACACTGGCCTTCCGAAATTACATACATTTTGCTGCAGCTAAAATCTAGGCCCTTCGCATGTGGGTGTGTAAATGAAACACCTGGGAGGTGACCGGGGTTAGGGTTGGTCCTTCCAAATTGGAGTGTTATGGATTGCTGTCTCTTCCACTTCTTTAACAGATATTTTTTTCACTAGCAGTTTTTAACTTTCGACAGCCTTTTTTGATTTGTGTTTTGGGTTTGTTTTTCTTGGTGTGCCGGGGATCGAACTCAGGACCTTACACTTGCAAGGCAGGCACAGTGCCACTGAGCTAAATGCCCGACCCTTACAGCTGTTTTTGAATCTGCAGCTTTTTTGCTCTTTTGAAACAGAAATCCCTGGATTGTATCATCTCAGAGCTATAAGGTGACTGAGCATATTAGGTCATTTTGGACATACACAAATGCTTGAGTGTATGGTTACCTGATCTTATCTCTTAACTGTGTTTAACATTGCTGCCAAAGTATGTATTTTCTCTTCCCACGCGTAAGCTGTTTTATAGCACATCCTCAGCATGATCTGAATGTGTGCTGAGTTGCTTATTTTCTCCATGTGACCTTTCAGTCATCTTTTTTGTATTGCTTCTTATGATTTTAACCCACTCAGAGATACCACTGAGTTATGTTGCAGTTTGAGCTCTTCCTTCATTATTTACTTTTCTTTTTTAAGACATGAGATCTTACCGGGCCTGGGATTTAGCTCAGTGCTTCCACTGCCTGCCTCACAAGGACAGGGACCCAAGTTCCATTCCTGGTACCAAAAAAACAAGACATGAGTTCTTGCTGTGTTGCGCAGGCTAGCGCTAGCCCTGAACTCTTGGATTCAAGCCATCCTTCTGCCTCATCCTCCCAAGGAGCTGAGGTGATAGGTATATCCCTCCACACCCTGCTCTCTGCTCTTTTCTGTTAACTTAAAGATATTTATATATAACTGTCAGTAAAACAGCATTTCTAAAACTTGACCCCAAAGTTTGATCTCTTTTTGCTGCAACTGAAGACAGTTGAACAGTCAGTAAGAAGTTTTGAAAAACTGAAAGATGTGATAATGAATGTTTCTTGACTTTTCTTCCCTTTCCCAGGTACAAGAACATTCCTCAGATGTCATTTGATGATACAGAAAGAGAGCCAGATCAGACCTTTAGTCTGAATCGGGATCTTACAGGAGAATTAGAGTATGCTACAAAGTAAGCACAGGACTTGACCTATGTTCTTCTCTGTGGCTCTCTGTTTATTTTTGGCCAGTTTCCTACTCTCAGCATCAGAAATGAGTCAAAACTCAAGAGGAGACTTGATCCTCGGTTTGGTCAATTTTTGGCAGAGAGTCAGTGCAAGCCACAGACTTGTTAAGTTGTAAGCACTTGGCAGACATGGGTGGGTTCCAAGGTTGGTCTTGGGAAGCGTGTTTTCAGAATCCCTCCTTTCATAGTGGGCTTACAGAGACTGAGTTACACGTGGCCACCTTATCTTTTCATTAGTTTTGTCTTGGTCGCACAGCATTTCTCATTCCTGGTCCTTGCAGGCAGTGCTTATTCTGTTGCCTTGGACAGGATCTGGCAGATACTCAGCAAATGTTCACTGAATTAATTGCTTGTGTAGAGAGGAGCCCAAGAGTGTTCTCTGACATTTGCCTGAGTTTTAGCACATTTGGTCTTCCCTGGTGGCAAGATGCTTGCTGGTCAGTAATGTATGTCTTCTCTCCCTCCTTTTCATGCTCCAGAATTTCCCGTTTTTCAAATGTCTATCATCTCTCAATCCATATTTCAAAAAACTTTGGAGCAGATACCACAAAGGTCTTCTATATTGGCCTGAGAGGAGAATGGACTGAGGTAAGAGGAGGCTGATAAATGCGTATCTGCACCGTGCACAGCAGGTGCTGTTGGAGGGTAAAGAAGAGCAACTTATGCATCATTTGCTCCATCTGTCTGTAATTTTTCATTCTCATTTGATAGACCGTAAGTATTGTTAATAGGTTGGTACTATGTAATTCAAATCAGTACGCAGTTTTTCACTTTCAGATTCTTTCATCATATATGCTCAGTGGTAGAGCATGTGCTTAGCGTACATGAGGCTCTGGGTTCATTCCCAGCACCAAAAAGAAAGAAAGAAAGAGAAGAATCCTTGATCTTTCTTGTTGGCACCAGAGATAAGATGATAAATGAGAGTGACAGCTTTCTGTTCTCATGGCGCCCTCATAATTGCAGAAATGGGTGGGGAGTGGCACTTCCCAGTTGGGTGAATCCTTGATAGTGATCTTATCAATGGGCTTGTTAGGATGGAGAGGGGAGCTTTAGAGATGACTCTAGAAGAGAACCCGACTGAGGCCACTCCACTTATGCTCTGGGAAAGGACAGTTCTTTCCTGGCTGGCTGACCCAGCCTCTGTTTTCTTGCAGCTTCGGCGACATGAGGTGACCATCTGCAACTACGAAGCGTCGGCCAACCCGGCAGACCACCGGGTCCAGCAGGTTACCCCACAGACACATTTCATTTCCTAGGGCTAGCCCGGGCTTCCACGGATATGCTGTGTCAGTGAGGAGTACAACTGCGTGCTGGGAAGGATGGAGGTGCGGCTCCAGCACGAGTTGGCTGCCACAGCTTCTGCCGAAACCTTGTCCTTGGGTCTCGCCGCAGAAACCTGGCCTGTGGAAGACACCACACCACTAGGAGAGTGCTGTGGGTGCCGAGGAACAATTATCTTTCTGTAGAGTGCTACAGAAATTGGGTTTTGGGCTGGGTGGCATCTGTCAGTCACGGATAATGCTTGCTTTTCCAGCCAGTGTGGCCACAGAATCCCAAGTGTCTTGGTTTGTGGCAGGAGTTTTGTGTGACTCGTTTTTAAAAAAATGGAAACTCCTGGGCTGTAGACAATCTCTGAAGCCTCAGAACTATGTGTATGAGCCATCAGGAGGGTCTCCAACTAGAAACCCTGTCCCTGCCTGCTCGTCTGTCATTGCTCAGCATTCTTGTCAAGTTGCTCAGCTTGGAGTCGTCATGCACAAGTGTCCTGTGGTTATAGTCAGAAAGGCAGAAGTCTCCTGATGATGCCTGATAGCCTGGGGAAGGGTCTTCTTTCCTGCTATCTAGCTAAGCAATCTGGGAAGAGCATGGGAATCATTTCTGTGTTTGTGGCTAGCCTGGTTGGTCTAAGACTGAGACTTAGTTAAGATTCCATGGGAACCTCCTCCATATTTATTAGCTTCTAACTTGTGTTGTAAGCTCAGTGCCAGAATTTGGAGGTCTCTTGAGTTCTTCTGTTCATAGCTTTTATTCACTGTGACTAATAAGCTTCTTAATAAATCCTTGCCAAATGATGTTTGTGTTTTCTTTTGGGCTCTCAGTACTGTTGATGAGACTTTCATTTTATTGCAAACTGTATTAAACTTTCAAGTTTTCTGTTTTGATTTAGGTGGATTACAGGAAGTGCCACAGTTAATTAGCACTATATCACTTGTCCCGGGAAAGTTGAAACTTAATTCTATACAGTATGATAAAAAAACACTCTTAAATTCGCATTTTGGAAAGAGGATATGGGTTAATGAAGTTCTGTGTGGAGTGATATTTACACAAACAAGGGAGGACAGATTCTGGAGCACATCAGAAGACCTGCACACGAGGAAATCAAATGAGCAGCACCTTCCATCCAAAGGTGGACCAAATACTTGGGATTTAAAATTTGAAAATCCGTATAGCAGTTAGAATTTAAGTGCATAGTCTGAAAGGGGGATTGGAAATGGTTACTATTATGTCTTGTTAAAGAAGGAACAGTTGGTACTACTATATTACTGTTGAACTTGATCTTGAGAGAATTCCTCAGAGGAGTGGGCCTTCTGTTATCAGGAGAATAAAGCCACTTTCTCTAGCCTGTCCTCAAGTCTGCCACCCCAAGCATTGTTGGGCCTCAGAATTCTAAAATGCAGCCCAGCTGGGCGTGGGGATACATGTAATCCCAGCACTCAGGAGGCTGAGGCGGGAGGACTGCTGCATTTTTGAGGCCAGCTTGAGCTACATAGTATGACCTTGTCTCAAAAAACAGAAACATAAGAACCAGCCTAAAATCAAGTAGAATGCAAGTGTTATTGGTGATGTAGTAAGCATTCTACCTACTCAGCCACGGCCAATCTCAGCTGTTTTGTTTTTTGTTTGTTTTGTGTTGTTTTGCGGGGATGGTACTGGGGATTGAACCTGGGGCCTTAAACATGTTCAGTGAGCACTACCACTGAGCTATATTCTTTGCCTTTCAGCTGGATTTTTTTGGGATTAAAAGGCTATATTTTAATTTGTGCAAAGGGAAAAACAAATCTCACAGCAGACCAGACCTTTGTAAGTTCTACTAACTAAAGCAGAAATCACAGCCCCAGGGACTGGGCCTCTGGATTGAAAGCTTCACTCCGAAGAATTTGTTGAATGTGCCATGGTGTCCCAGGTAATTGGAGGTTCCAGAGAAACATGGTTTATTCCATAAGCAGACAGGGCAAGGATTCTGTGGGTAAAGGGGTAGCTGTGTTGTTTCCTACTTTGATCCTTTGGCTTTTGACATCAGTCCTGGCTCCTTGGCCACGTGCCATATTTCTGTCCAGAACCCTAGTATTTTAGGCCCCATCTCGGTGACCTGTTGAGTACAGTAGACCAAACTGCCTCTTGGCCTAGGGAAAAGTGCTTTCTTGAGCTTCCAAGTTTGTACTTGTTTTCTTTTGGTTCAAAGAAGTTGGGAGAATGAGTCCTCAGCTGCTGAGGGACAAGTGTGACTCATTTCCTGTTTGCAGACCCTCACATGTTCTCTCTGAGACTTGGTCCTTCAACTCAGTTTGCTTCTCAGCCTTTCTGTGGACCCTGGGTCCTATTTCTACTTTACCAATGCAAGAGATGACTCCGTGATGACCAGAGGAAACTTGTTCTTGGTGAATTTCAGGGTGGCATTTTGTGCACCCTGAATGGCATCGTTTGTAAAGGGCAGAGCAAAGACAACACTGTCCGTGCCTGTCCATAGTTCCTGATATAGCCTGTGTATTTTCCCAGGGTCCTTTTCAGGGTGATTAAGGACTCCCTGATTTAACTGTGTAAGTCATGCTCACACCATTTGAACCTAACAGCTAAGCTATGAAGCAGACAGGGTAGTTGTTATTACCACTTTATAGCATAGAAAGCAGGTCAAGAAAAGTAGATCACAGTGTAATCTTGAGGTTGCTGTTTACCTCCTTTCCCTGAGCCTTGGTTTCCTCATGTTTAAGAATGGACGACTAGGTGATTGCAGGGCTTTTCATCCCATCCATGATGCTGGAATAAGGCATGAAAACCAGTAGTCGGGATGAACAAGTCGAAAGATCCAGTATACAATAGAGGACCGTAGTTAAAAATAGTGTGTTATATTCAGGAGTTTTGCTAAATAAGTAGCTAACAGCTGCTGAGATGATAACGTTAATGTGCTCTACTATAGTAACTATTTTACTATATATCTGATGTGTAAATATATAAACAGTAAAATGTATTTTTTAAAAGCCAAAACACTGGCAAGTTCCCACTAGCTGCTGAGATGATAACGTTAATGTGCTCTACTATAGTAACTATTTTACTATATATCTGATGTGTAAATATAAACAGTAAAATGTAATGTATTTTTTAAAAGCCAAAACACTGGCAAGTTCCCAACGACAGAATGAGGTGTCCCTCATAGGACTGGGAAGGTGACAAACTTCGTGCTGATAGTGTGAGGAAGGCTTCTCCCTGACAAGTATGATAACGTTAATGTGCTCTACTATAGTAACTATTTTACTATATATCTGATGTGTAAATATAAACAGTAAAATGTAATGTATTTTTTAAAAGCCAAAACACTGGCAAGTTCCCAACGACAGAATGAGGTGTCCCTCATAGGACTGGGAAGGTGACAAACTTCGTGCTGATAGTGTGAGGAAGGCTTCTCCCTGACAAGTTTCCTGTGGAGGCGCCTGGGTGGTGGTGGAAGCGGGATGCCCTGTCTGGGTGCTGCAGGTGCAGGTGATTCCCTGCGCAGACGCTGCAGGTGGGCGCCGAGTGACGGGGAGTGGCCCCACCGCCGGCAACATGGCAGCTCCTAGCCGGGAAGCCCGACCCGCTTCCGGGTTCCGTACCGCTGGCCAGGCTACTTCCGGCAGCGCGATGGCTGGGTTCCCGGGACTCGAACGGAAGTTCCGGCGGGGGCGGCCGAGGGGGAAGAGTGTGTGTCTGTGGCAGAAAGAGGAGAATTGCCCGAGCGGTCGCGAAAGCCCCAGGGAGCGAGGTACCCGGCGGGCGGAGCGAGACCGGGCGGGGCGT